CCCAGAGCCACCAGCAACAACCGGGTCAGAGAGACGGTTGCCCTGGAGCTGAGCTACGTCAACTCCAACCTGCAGCTGCTGAAGGAAGAGCTGGAGGAGCTCGGCAGCAGTGTGGATGCCTCCCAGCAGGACAGGTGCGTGTGCATGGCGTGATCCAGGGCGGCGTGTGTGTGCAAGGACGTGACCCAGCACATCTCGTGTGTGCATGTGTGCGAGGATGGGATCCAGGACGGTGTGTGTGCGCATGTGTGCACCCCTGTGTGAGGACACCATCCAGGATGGCGCATGCGTGTGTGTGTGTGACTCAGGACGGCGCATGTGTGGGTGAGCGTGTGCAAGGACATGAGTCGGGACACGTTCGCGCATGGGGAGATGATGCACCCGTGTCGTGGGCGTAGTGGGGGGGCTCCAGCCACAGGCAGCTGCTGCAGCCCTGGCCTGCAGTCCGTGCTTCTGCTCTAGTGACGCTGTCGCTGTCCCTATGGTGCCCCTGGGTCTGAAGGAGACCAAGGAGCTGGACTGGTCCACGCCCCTGAAGGTGAGCACAGGTCTGGGGACTCTGAGAATCTCGGAGGCGCCCTGGTCCAGCCGTCTCATTGAACAATGAGGAAACAGGCGCAGAGGGAGGAAGGGCTGACCAGGGACCACCCGGGGACCTGGCAGAGACGGCAGGGACCCCGTGTCCTGCCCTCTTCCTCCTCGGTTCAGGGCCAACAGTGGTTGCCATGCCTTGGGTGGTAAAGTGGTCTGATTGGGTGGGTTTGGGTATGTGCCCTGCCCTAGGAAAGGTGTGACACAGCCTGGTCATCCTGCTGGAAGCCCCAGAATGACCATAGGGTCCCAACTCTTCCTATAAGGGTCCCCTTGAGGGTCCTGCTGGCTGGGTAGACAGCTCAGGGCTGCTGCCCACCCAGCAAGAGCCTGTGCTGTGAGGACTGCCGGCTCATGAGTGCCCTGGAGAGGGCTTGGAGCCCAGAACAGGGCCCTGTCCCATCTGCCACTGCCTGGCAGGGCCCCATGGAAAAGCGACTTGACTCTGCCTCGGTGTCCAAGTCTGCTTCTCAGGGCTGCCATGGGGATTAATGAGGGAATGCGTGTAAAAATAGCAACAATGAGTCTCCTGGGCCCAGTTCTGTGGTGGGGTGGGGGTCCCCCAGGGCCAGAGCGGGCAGGACCCACATTAACACCCAGCCCTGACACCTGCGAGGACCCTCCGTACACACCAGCCCTCAGCTCTTCTTTGGGGCTTTTACCAAGGGCCACCAGGGCCCAACCCCACATGTGCAGCCGGCCTGCTCTGTGGCACAGACCCTCCCCTCTGCTATGGGTCTTCCTGCACAGTGGGCTGGCAGACCCCAGGGAAGGCTGCCAGATGCCGGGGTGCCATGGAGGCCCACACCTGCCCCCTCCATCAGGAGCTGATCTCGGGACACTTTGGAGAGGACGGAGCATCCTACGAGGCAGAGATCAGGGAGCTGGAGGGTCTGCGGCAGGTGTGTGGCTCCTCCTCCCCGCCCCTCCCCTCCCCGCCCTCCTGCAGCACCAGGAGACAGAGGAGGAAGCTGAGGTTTAAGTCAGGAAGGGAAAGGTCGAACTTGCTGTGGATGTTCACACGGCAGGAGTCCCCACATCTTGGGGATGCTGGTCTGGGGAGGACGTGGGGGAGGCAGGCATGCCTGGGGGTCCCTGTACATGCAGATGCACCCAATGTGTGCAGAGGCCTCGCAGGGGCTCCGTGCAGGCCCCACGCTGCCAGCCTGTGGGAAAGGCTGCCCTGTGCCTGCCCCCCACAGTCTCTGGGGCGGCCTGTGTGCTTCCACGGGGCTGGCACCCATGGGGTCCCAGGATGTGTGCGAGTGGGGTGGGTGGAGCAGTGGGGCCCAGTGGCTCCTGCCCTGCAGGCCATGCGGACCCCCAGCCGGGATGAGGCAGGCCTGCAGCTGCTTACAGCCTACTACAACCAGCTCTGCTTCCTGGACTCCCGCTTCTCTGCCCCCACCAGGAGCCTGGGGCTGTTCTTCCACTGGTAGGGGGAACGGGGGCAGGTGGGATGCCCGGGGAGGGAGGCCTGGTTGCTGTGGGACCTCTGCCCAGCCCGACCCACCCCCGCAGGTACGACTCGCTCACAGGCGTCCCGGCCCAGCAGCGGGTCCTGGCCTTTGAGAAAGGCAGCGTGCTCTTCAACATCGGCGCCCTCCACACTCAGATCGGGGCGTGCCAGGACCGCTCCTGTGCAGAGGGCACCCGCCGCGCCGCAGAGGCCTTCCAGAGGGCCGCCGGTGAGGCCGCCCAGACCCCTGTGCACCACCTGCCCACACAGAGGCAGAAAGTGGACGCCATGCTGCAGAGCCCCCTCTGGGGCAGGAGATGGGGCGGGGGGAGGATGGGGGCACCCTGGGAGGAGCTGAGCACCGCAGGGTCCTGCATGCTGTGTTGGGCGGGGCCGGCAGGGTGGGGAGGCCCTGTGGTGCGAGCATCCCCTCCTCTGCAGGGGCCTTCAGCCTGCTCAGGGAGAACTTCTCCCAGGCGCCGAGCCCGGACATGAGCGCGGCCTCTCTCTCTGCGCTGGAGCAGCTCATGATCGCCCAGGCGCAGGAGTGTATCTTCGAAGGCCTCTCGCTGCCGGCGCCCGTGGCCCCCCACGACTGCCAGGCTCAGCTGCGCCTGGCTCAGGAGGCCGCCCAGGTGAGGACAGAGAGCCTGGTCAACAACCCGGCCAGGCTGTGGTCGCTCAGCGGGTAAAGGCTGGGGGTCACCAAGGGGCAAAGCAAGCAGGAAGAGTCAGGAAGGGGCAGGGATGAGATCTCCACCTCCCTTGGTGTGTGGGTCCCGAAGCCAGCCACTGTCCTGGTCCCTGTGGGGCTGGTCAGGAACTCGCTGTCCTGAGTCCCTGCCTCAGGGGCACAGCATGAGTCAGAGCAGGAACTGGGGGCTCTGAGCGCCCTCCCCAGCGTGGCTTAGCTTCACGGCAAGCGGGGAGGCTGCTGGGCCATTGGTCGGGGTGGACAGGGCTGGGCCAGGGTGAGGCGAGGCAGGGGGCTCACGCTGGCTGGCGGGTCTGGTGGGCCTTGTCACTTGAGTCCCGTGGCCACCTCTGGCAGAGCCGGAGGCCCCAACGCACCTGCTGTGTCCACCGGCAGGTGGCAGCCGAGTATAGGCTCGTGCACCAGACCATGCGTAATAACTTCGTATAGCATACATTATACGAAGTTATCGACGCTGGCTGGCGGGTCTGGTGGGCCTTGTCACTTGAGTCCCGTGGCCACCTCTGGCAGAGCCGGAGGCCCCAACGCACCTGCTGTGTCCACCGGCAGGTGGCAGCCGAGTATAGGCTCGTGCACCAGACCATGGCCCAGCCGCCTGTGCGCAACTACCTGCCAGTCTCCTGGACTGCCCTGGTGCAAGTTAAGGCCGAGTACTTCCACGCCCTGGCCCACTACCACGTGGCCATGGCCCTCTGCAACAGCTCCTGTGAGTGTCCTCGCCACATGCCTGTGTGTGCCGGCAGAGGCCCCTGTACTCAGGGCTCACAGCCTCTCTGACCCCCAGTGGTGGCCGAGGGAGAGCTCCCCACGCATGAGCAGGTCTTCCTCCAGCCTCTGACCCCCGCCAAGGCCCGATGCCCTGCGCTGCCGCAGGAGCTGGAAGAGCGCAGGAGGCTCGGTGAGACATCGTGGACGGGAGGGCACGGAAGGGGGGCTCAGCTCACCTGCCCCTGAATGCTCCTGCCTGGTGGGTGAGGGGTGGGAGCAGGTCCCGAGAGTGCTCAGTGGCACTGGGCAGGTGGGACACACCCGGGGGGCTGCCCTCCTGCCATTTGCACCTGGCAGAGCCCCTCTGGGCCAGCCAGCTCCTTGTCTGCCCCTCTGGCTGCACTCACGGGACAAACCCGCAGCCCTGGCCCTGCCCACTCTTCTTGCCGCATTCAGGGCTGGGGGGCTCATCCTGGAAGGAGCCACTGGGCAGTGTGTGACGGCACTGCGCTCGCGTGCAGGCAAGGCCCACCTGAGGCGCGCCATCCTGGGGCAGGAGGAGGCGCTGCGGCTGCACGTGGGGTGCCGCGTCCCGCGCACGGTGGACCTGCTGCGGGCTGTGCTGGCCCAGGCGCTGCAGTGCTCACTGGCCAAGTACTCGGAGCTCGACCAGGAGGACGACTTCGTCGAGGCTGCCGAGGCCCTCGACATCCAGCGTGAGCAGCCAGGGCCCGTCCACACCACCATGCCCCAGGCCAGGGTGGGCTGAGGCGGAGGCCCCCACAGCTGCTGTCGAGGACACAGTTACCAGACTGGCGAATCCTCAGTTGTGCCTCAGCCTCCCACAGAGCCTTGGGGCACTCGGGGTGGGGGTCTAAGCTCCAGCCAGGCCTGGGAGCAGGCCCCTGCGGACACCACTGACTCTCCTGTTCCCAGCACTGCCCCCACCACCCTGACTCCTGCCCTAGGGGGAAGCCCACAGACCTGGGACAGGCACAGCCACGGCTTCAGGGGGGTCTCTGGGAGCCACCTGGGGCAGGTGGGGGCCACATGTTCAGGGGACCTGGGGCAGCCATTCCCACGTTGCTCTGGCTGGGTCAAGTCCTGCTGGAGGTCCCAGGGGTCGGGGACCCCACCAGCCTTGGGCTCAGCTCCGCCCCTCCTTCTCCTGCTGCCCCCCAGCGAAGACCCACCAGAAGCCAGAGGTCAGCACGCCCAGCCTGCTCCCGGTGAAGGTGACCGACATCTTCCACCGGCTGGTGAGCCCGCTGTCCCCAGGCCACCCCTCCCAGCACATGCAGGCTTGGGCTGTGATATTCTGCTGTGTTTTCACTGACCAGAGATGGAGCCCGCCAGGCCTCGGTGGTGGCCCAGCCCTGCCCAGCCCCTCCATGACACCTCACTGGGGTCTGTCCCTGGATGCACAAGCTGGAGAGGGGTCACTGGACAGGGCAGGGGCTCCTGGGACTGTGGCCAGCTAGGTCTCTGATCTCTGACTCTCCCAGGGGCCCCTGTCCGTGTTCTCAGCCAAGAACCGGTGGCGGTCGACAGGGCCCATCCATGTGACCCGAGGAGAGGGTGGCTTCGGCTTCACGCTTCGGGGAGACTCACCCGTCCTCATTGCTGCTGTCAATCCAGGGGGCCGGGCTGCGGTAAGGTCCCCACCCGGCCCCCAGAGGACAGTCCCTGGGCTTCCAGCCAAGGAGTGCTGTCCCCACCTGACCGCCCAGTTTCCCCACAGGCGGCTGGCCTGAAGGAGGGTGACTACATCGTGTCTGTGAACGGGCAGCCATGCAAGTGGTGGAAGCACGCGGAGGTGGTGGCACAGCTGAAGGGTGTGGGCGAGGCGGGCGTGAGCCTGCAGGTGGTGCAGCTGCTGCCTGGCACCCAGCCGCCCGGCACGGTGAGCCCCTGGGGGCCCTGGGAGGGTGGCCTCAACCTCCTCATCCTCCTCGGCCCTGGCCCTTCCCCCAATGCTCGGGAGGCATTGGGAAGAGCAGGCTGGTGTGCAGTGGTCCTCTCTGGGGCGGCCTCCTGTGCTGCTGCCTCCACCTGGCCGACCCAGAGCTGGGTGAGGAGCAGCAAACCTGGGGGCCCCGCTGCATGCCCACCCTGACGGGAGCCCCGACATATCCCCGGACACCCATGTCTCCCAGATGGCTCCCGCCTCCTCCCAGACTGGCCAGGTGGGGGTAGGCCGGCAGTGGCTGGCCACAGTCTGTCTTTGTCCTGGCTGCAGGGGGACCGCCGGCCAGCCCTACTGGGCCCCGGGGGGCTTCTGAAGAGCCAAAAGGACTGCGGTTGTGAGACGCTAGCACCTGCAAGGGCCAGCCCCTGGCCCCTTCTTGGATGGAGCCGCAAGGCCAAGCAGGGCAAGACTGGAGGCTGTCCCCAGCCCTGCGCTCCCCGGGGGATGGCTGCGCCTGCACCTGAGCAGAGCTGCCCTCTGAGCACCCAGGGCGGCCGTGAGGAATGGGCTCCCTGCACACCTCTGGGAGTGCCTTGCACATGCCCTCCTACCCTGGAGGACCTTCAGGCAGTGTCTGCCCCGCCCAGTGCCCAGAGCTAGAGGGTCCCTGCCTGCCCTTTAAAGACACTGATCAGATGAGGCAGGTCTGAGCCCAGTGCTGGGGGCCATGGCCACTTCACCCACATGCCGGAAGCATTCAGTCCCCTCTGGACAGAGTCCTCACGCCCACTCACTGGGGCTGCTCCACCCCATGGCAGCAGCGGGTGGGTTCAGGGGGTCTGGCAGATTCTCTCCCTCTGGAGCCTGAAAGAGCTGTCCTGGGAGCTGGGGGCTCCCCCTGCAGGAGGCTCCCTCAGCCAGGCTCTCCACCACTCCCCCGCCCCCCCATCCATGCGCTGACCACACCCTCTCTCAGGGCCCCGCCCACCAGCTGCCGCCCTAGGCACAGACCCTCAGGCTCAGGCCAGCCCTGCCCCAGCCAAGCTTCTGCCCCTCCCCGCATCCCAACTGGGGGAGGCCCTGCTCTCTCCCTGGCCCTGGGGCCTCCCTTCCTGCCCTTCCCCTCCCTCCACACAGCAGTAGGGGCGTCGCAGCATCGACTCCCCTCTGGGCGGGGTCCCAGCCAAGGCCTTCCCCTGCAGCACCTTGTTGTCCCCTCTGTACAGATCAGGGCCCTTCCTGCCTATGCTCTTGCCGTCCCCTCATCCTGGCACAGGTCTCATGGCAGCCCTGCACCTGCTGCACCTGCAATCAGCTTGTGGGCAAGTGTCTCAGGCCAGCCAGGGGTTCCCCAACCACCCCTGACCCACTTGGGCTCAACCACGCCCACACCCACCCCTGCTGCACCCTCCAGGCCCCTCAGTTTCCTGAGCTGGGGAAAGGGGGCCCGTCTCCTGGTGTGCATGTACTGGGCAGACGGGCCCCCAATGGATCACTGCCCCCAGTTCTTCAGAGGGTGGGCTCAGGACCTGGGGGGCAGGCCTGAGTTGCGTGGGGGAAAAGCCATGGAGGGGGCTTTGCCAAGGATCCCCGCCCAGCAGGTCACAGACAGGGACAGGGCTGGCAAGACTCTTTTCTGGTGGCCACCAGGGGGCAGCCGCTGCCTGCTGAAGTGGCCAGAAGAGGTGATCTTGGGGCAGGCGTGGGTCTGGGGAGGGCAGGCAGCAGACCCAGGAAAGCAAGGCAGCCCCTCGCAGCCCGAGACCCCCATCCTCTCGTCCATCCCTCCTGTGGGGTCCCCAGGTGGGAGCAGCCGCTCTGGGCTCTGGTTCCATGTCTGGGCCCTGCCATCCATCCTGTGCGCTTCAGCATTAGCGTCAAGGTCCCAGTGTGAGTGTGTGAGGGGGTGCGACATGGGGAGGCCCACGTGTGCGGTGCAGTCTTCCCAGGCAGAAGGGCGGGGCTCCCGGGGCCTGCCTGAGCCCAGGAGTGGAGGGATCCGGGTCCATGCCTCCCCCACCCACCTGCCCTCCTGGGAGAATCCCCCATCTCAGCAGAATGGGCCAAGGTCACGAAGGTCTCTCTAGCACTTATTAATTTGATTAATAAAACTGTGCATCAAGGAGGCCATTACATGCTAATCGGGGATGACAGGGTTGGCAGGCCCTGTCTGGGAAGACACAGCGACTCCCACCTCCTCCAGCCTCTGCAGACCCCAGGGGGTGGGAGCAGGAGCTGCCACCTGCCTCTGCACTGGCTAGCTCTGGGCCACCTCAGGCTGGCAGGGAGGGGGCTCTTCCCCAGAGATTCACCCTCCCACCGCAGATGGCCTAGGGTGCACCCCCTCCCTGCACTGTCCCAGCCTGTCTCACGGCCCTTGTTCCTCCACCCAAACGCCCCTCACCATCTCAGGGGTCTCGTCTGCATCTGTCTCAGTTGTCTGCAAAGTGAGGTCACCTTGGAGCTCTCGTTAAGATAGATGAGGAAGCCTGGCACATGAGGGTGCCCAGAGCTGGGGCACATGGGTCCCCGAGGTCCAGCTGCAGAGGAAAGTGGGTACTGAGGGACAGGCAGAGACCAGCCTGTGTCCCCTGGGGCTCAGCCCTCACAGTTCTGAGCTCTGGGTGGAGACTACCACCCTGTCCTCACCCACAGCATGGCAGCTGGTGTCTGTCTCTGGCACATGAGGAGGGCCCCAGGCAAGAGTGGAGTCTCTGTGGCTCTAGGAGTTCTCCAAGACCAGGTCAAGGACATGGCTCTAGGCCTGGCAGAAGCCACAGGTGTCCCAGTAGGTGGTCATAGTCTGTGCCCTGCCAGAGAGCAATGCTGCACCCAGGGGGCCAGGACGCAAGCCTCACCAGATCCCACCTCAGCAGGCAGCAGCTCAGGGGTATGAGGGCACCTGCCCAGGCCCAGGGAGCGATGCAGGAGGGCCTGGTTTGTGCTGTGTGTGCAGGGCTGTCCAGGCTGGGTGAAGGTAGGGGCTCCCTATGTGGTTATGCCCAGGAGAGCCCACCTGTGCCAGGCCTTTCCCTGGGGGCAGCAGCTACCCTGGCAGGGCCAGCTCATAGTGTCCCCACACGTGTGCCTGTGTGAGGACTGGCCAGCCCAGCCCATGGAACCCGTTCTCTTCCCACCCTGCTGCCTCGCATGGCTCCTGGGACACTCCAGCCTTGTTCCTGGGCTTTCCCAGCTGGCGCCTTCTCGGCCTTCAGGAACAGGTTAATGTCCCTTCCTCAGACAGGCCTTGACTGGCCACAGCCCGTGTCAGGGGCTCTAGCCCCCACCTTCGGGCCAAGCCCCATCAGCATTCATCATTGTGTGTCACAGATGGGCCGTGGCCTTGGGTGGGGACCGCGCCATCTGATCCACGAGTACGTGTGGAATGGTCGGGACGCGTGTGTCGTGCACGTGCGCCATCGGGAGGGAGGGGCCGGCGCCCAGGAGCCCCGCAAAGCAGGGCGCACAGAGCACAGGCCGCCCGGGGACACTGCACTGTCGGGTGGTCCCGGGCAGGAGGTCCGGGCGAGGATGCCGCTGTCCTTTTTGCTTTGCCAACAGAAAACTGCTGAGGGGAAAAGGCAAACTCCGTTTCGCTTGGGTCAGCAGCCGCCGCCGGGGCGGGAGATTAATGTGGAGAGGGAGCTGCGGCAGGAGTGCAGCCGGGGCGCTGGGCCGAGGGCAGGTGGGGGGCCGGGTGGGAGAACCCCCCTTCCAAATTCACTCTCCTCGTCCCCCTCCCAGCCCAGCCAGCGCCGTTGCCGGGCCAAGCCCCTCGCTGTGTGTGCTGGGGGCTCTGCGGCCCAGTCCAGAGCCCCGCGTCCCGCCGCGCACACCCGCGGGTCCCCCAGGGCCACCGCACTGGGTGTTTTACTTACCTTCTTCCTGCTGATGGTCGGGGATTTGTACTGGAGGGAGGTGGACCCAACACAGTTATCCTCAAATAAATTTAGAAGGCCTGACTGGGACCGTCTAAGCAAGTGGAGCGAAGGCGCTGACCTGGCATGTGACCTGGCCCCGGCTGCGCCCACGGGTCTTTCCTGGTAGTGGGGGGGGCTGGGACCTGGGGGGAGCGGGGCGGACACCCTGATCAGGAACTGGCTCTGCTGCCTCCAGACCCCGCAGGGCAGGGTAGGCAGCCAGGGTGGGCTGGAGGGCAGAGGACGATTGGGGGGGGGGCTCACACAGGGCAGCGCATGCTTTAGCCTGTCCTGTGGCCGCTGCTGAGGGCAGGCGGCGGGGCTGTGGCAGCAGGGGCTCAGGCCCACCTGGGAGTGCTGCTGTCCAGGTGAGGGACAACAGTGGACAGGTTAGAGGGGTTTGAGCTTTGCCTCAGTCTTCCAGCATGGAGCAGGAGATGGTGGCCCCCCAGAGTGACCCCGAGCCCACTCCTGGCCTGGGTGGGTGAGGGCAAGAGATGGGGCTCCAGGCTTCGCTGGAGTGAAAGCCACCATCAGGCCCCATGAAGCCACAGCCCCAGCAGGGCAGGTCCTCCCCTCCCCGCCATCTGCCACAACACAGCACCTCTCCCATGGGCCGTCCTGAACCCTCAGCAGCATGCAGGCCGCACGTCTGCTGCACGGGCAGCGAGTCTCAGGAGGCAGGGGCTGCTGAGCCTGGCTCCCTGCAGGGCATGAAAGGTCGGAGAGAGGACACCGACCAGACCCACCCAGGTTTCTGCTCCACGCAGAGAACAGTCCTCTGGGGCCGCTCCCATCCCACAGGTCCCTCAGCGCTCACGGGAATCCCCAGCTGCCTCCCATGCCACCTGCTGCAGGTTTGAGGCGAGGGGAGAGCGAAGCCCCCCAGGCAGGCGGCCTGGGCCTGCTGGTCAGTGAGGCCATGTCGGTCCGTCCTCCTGTGCCAGAGTGGGGCAGGGTGCCCTGGGGAGACTCCGACGCTGCCTGACCCTGCCTGCTCTTGAGGCTTGTTCCCCACACCCCCCAGCTGTGGCAGTGACTGGGACTCCCCGACCTGCAGCCCCCGCCCCACTGCTCCCTCTGCTGAGAACACCGTCCCCTCCCCCCTCCTCTCCCCCTCCCCCTCCTCCATTTCCCCTCCTCCCCCTCCCCAGGGAGCCAGCACAGTCTCAGTGGTTCCCATCACAGTCTGGTCCCCCTGTCTGCCTGGTGTCCAGCTCCCTAAGGGACAGGAGTACCTCCAGGGCACAGTCCATATCTGCCTCACCTGCCCACGGCACCTGTCCCTGAGAGGAACAAATGTCAGCTGTATGCGAAGAAAGGTGGGTGGACACAGGGGACAGGGAAGGACAGGACCCCATGCAGGAGGGTTTGTCCCAATAGACACCCGGCAAGGTGCAGGGTGCCTGTTCCCAGACTGCAAGGAGGACAGCTTGGAGCGTGTCACCCTAATGTCCCCACCAGCAAGCTGAGGCTGTGGCAAGGGTCCCGCTAGAGGAGGACAGTGTCATCTGTGCATCTCGCGAGGGGAAAGCCCACTGAGCTCACGGCTGACATGTCAATTGTGAGTCGGCCGGGGCCTAGGTCAGCCCACCCATCGCATGCTCACCACAGAGATGATCACACCCACCCACGGCCCGCACAGACTCGCACGTGGTCCCGGAGCTGGCTCCGCCTCGGCGAGGCTGCACGGCCTCCACTCACTCACTGCATCTGCCCGTGTGTGCAGCGCCTTCCCCCAGCTGTGGCCACCCTGGCAGGGCCACGGGGTGGCTGACCGCCTTCTTTAGAGGAGGAGAGTGGCACAGCCAACCCTTACCGTCACCAATGTCACCCCCCCGTCGCCGTCCTCGCCATCGCCAGTGTCACCAGCCCCCTTGCTCTGCTGGGTGAGCAGCCCAGGCCACGTGGGGCCACCCTGCCTCGACCACCCCTCTGGGAGCAGGTCTCACTGCCCCGCATCCCCCTTCTCCCGCTGCCCCAGAGGTTGTGCTGTGTCCTCAGGAGCCTGGTGGCCGAGGCCCACCCAGGGCCGGCAGCTCGGCGGGCAGGGCCATGCATAATGCAGTGTTTACCTGGGGGGTGACTGGAGGCCCCCGCGGCTCCGGCCCCCCCACGGCCCCCAGACAGTGAGCCAGACGTGCATTAA